TCTTTTTTTTAAAAAGTACTTTAAACTGTATAAATAATCTAAAATTAAATTGATTTAAGCAGCCAATCATACAAATGTCTGCCTATGAGAAATTAGTAAACTTCCAATATTATATAATACTCTAACAATAAGACGAAACCAATTTAATTCAATGGTTTACGTTTCATCCCACTCACAAAAAAGGAGAAAGAAGAAAACTAGAAAGAATTTAAAATAAATTTTTTCCCAAAACAATCCACACTATTATAAAAATCTTTTGAAATTCTCCACATATATAATGAGAAGGGAAAGCAGAGAGGGGAAAAACAGAAAGGGAAAGATAACCTAAACCACTAAATAAAATTAGTGTTTTCTAAACACCATACACTATAATAGCATATTTTTTAACATATAAACTACAAATAAGACAAGTGGCGCAAAGCGCCACTCTTCGCACTAGTAACTTATTAATTATTAAAGCATTAAATTTTCATACATTATGCTCTACTTTGCTTATGCATAAGACGTTCTATTATGCATCAAAGTTCAAGATCTAAATTATTCTTTGTTTTCAACAATACGGGTCCTCCAAAAATATATAGCCCCAAGTTTAAATACAACCAATTCAGATAACTACGCGAAAGTTATTGCTATGTATCAAGATAAAAAATTACTATGTGATAGAACAATCCCTCGGATCTATTTATGAAATATAATAAACTTAAATCAGGTTATTGCCAAGCTACGGTATCAAGTTTCATTTATGGTAATAAATACCTACGTACATAAAAGCAACTGTCTCTGCTATTGTTCCAGATAAAACAATTATCATGTGGTAAAAACAATCTCTTGGTTCTATTTATGAAATATAATAAACTTTAAATCAGGTTATTGCCAAAGCCATAGTGTTGAGTTTTATTTATAGTAATAAACGCCTACATGCATAAATAGATAAAAAACTCTGTTTCATTGTACAGTTGTAATGACAAAACATAAGATTCCACTATATGACAACACAATAAGGATTATTAAGTATTGCAGACGCACACAATTCAACTTCGCTATCGCTTAGTGAACTCTGTTCAAATTCTTGTAGATTGTGGGCACATGACTTATATTCGAAATTCTTTCGATTAAGAAAAGTTTTCTCTGTTGATATTAAATACAAAGGTATCTTGCCTTCTTTAGCATCATTAGCACATAAAAATATAGAAATTAGAGCATTAATATTTGACCATGGTATTCTAAGCTTACAATTAAAATTTACTATTAATGGGCTATTAGAAAAATGAAATGGGTCAGAATAGTCACCACTCGAAGACTACACACAAAAACTAATCATACACACACACAACAAAACCAAAGAAAAGAGGGGGAGAGGAAAACTTGGCAAGGTAAGGCGAAGTGGTTTGCTGTGAGTGAGATTTACGAGATACACAAGTGAGAGACACTTAGGGCAGAAGAGAACTAATTTTTATTTAGATAACTATTTTATTGTTCGAAAGTCGAACTTTAATACTTTACAACTGTAGCAAAATGCTACTCTATTTATACAAAATAAAAAAATGAAAAGAAGCTAAAGAAGAGGTGTGGCGACTTAGTGTAGTGGTCTAGTCATTACCCTCTCCAAGTGGCAGGTCTAGAGTTCAAATCCC